GCAGGGACGTCTGCATTGCTCCCTCTTGGCAGATGGCCAGTCAGCTGGTCTCCTTCAGCTGTGCCGGAAGATGAGCAGGCAGTTCTGTCTCCCGGCTGGCTGAGGCTTAGTCCAGGGCAAAACCAGCAGCTTTCTTCCTGCTGTCATGTCAGGTAGGAGTACCCTCTCATTGCCTTGTGTCCTGCTTTGAAAGCTGCCGGCGGGGCGACAGAGAAAAGCAGCTGCTGTCAGCCTGGCTGGGCCGTTCCTGAGAGAGAACGGATCCCTCCGAGGCCACAGCTCTACAGATGACTCTGTCTTCATTTCAGAAGGAGAAAGGGGACTCGCTTTGGCCATAACACTGAAAACAGTATTGGCGATACTAATTTGATGAGTATTACAAGTTCTGAGTAGAGGAGGAAAAGGAATTTTCCAAGATTTGAGGGAAAATAATTCTGTTTAAGGATTTAGTGTCAGAAGGTATCCAAATATGATTTTCACTCTGATAAGAGTTTAATTTTTTTTTGTAATGATCATGTTATACCAGAAAGGTGATTCACGTAGTATTAGGGTTTTCTTAAGAAAATTGTCACACCATGAGCCAGCTCGCTTGCTGTCTCTTCTTCCTTTCTTCCCCTCTTCCCTTCCTTTCTGTCCTTTCATTGGCTTTTTACCTCCCTCCCTCCTCTTTTTCCTTCTAAGTTCTTCTCTGGCAGAATGGCTCTGTGTAGGATACTTTTTATTTCTTTGTGGAAAAAAGCACATGGGTGTTTGTGGGAGGGGCTGGAGCCCCCACCTTTGGTCTGCCTTGTGCTGTGGCTCTCCCCATCAGTGGTGTGTACCTGTCAGTGACTGTGTCTGGAGCAGGGTCAGGCTGAGTGGGCTCAGGGGACCAACGTGTGTGGATTAGGGTCAGGGAGAGCTTCTGCTGCCTCGTGCGCTCTGAGTGCAGACACGTGCTGTCTCTGTGTGTCCCCTCCCGGTCCCTGCACCACACTGTGGGCTGCCTTGTGTGGGCAGCATTGGGCTTCCCTGTCTTCTGTCTTCTTACCCCTCCTTGTTGTGTTTCTTGCCCTTCTTAGTCATAACTGCTCAGACAAGCTTCTCTGATGAAAAGAAGTGGGAGGAGAACAGTCACCAAGCTGCCATTCTGGTATTTCATCTTTTGTGTAACTGGGAACCAGTAAAACAGCAGAAGTTGATATACGAGAAGGATCGAAGCCCAACCCTAGAAGGTGAAGATTCCTTCTCACAGATAGTCCTGTACTCTCTGAGGAAGCATAAGGCTTTAGGAAGGGTCACCTGCTTTGCTGGCCTTAGCTTTGAGAATTTTAGGAGCTTCTAGGCCTTTTGAAAGAAAATGAGATCGTAAGACCAAATGATTGTTTTTGT